TTCGGTGGCTTTGGCTGAGGGCTGGAGCCGGTGCCGCGGGAAGAGTAGCGGGGCAGCGCGGGTGCCTGCTTCCCGGGTAGTGCTGAAATAGTGGCAGGGCGAGCTCGGCGTAACCGCAGGTGAGGAACAGGTGAATAAAAGGAAGTCTCCTCCCTCCCCGTGGCGTGACCGTATTTGGTTTTATCAACACTGGAACTTGTTGTGTATCTTGTTCGTCTGTTTAAAAGAAGGTATTTCATCTTACCCCTGTCCAGCGTGTAACGCAAGGAAAATTCTCTAGAATGCAACCCCCATGTAACACGCTTTTAAAAAAGGCTTTACTAGATGACTTGGGGATCTAACCTGCTTTTCCAGTGTTGGGATCGTTCCAATTTACAGGTCAAGGGAGTGACAGCAATAGCACTGTAGTCTAGAAGCCCAGCTGCAGCAAGCTTTCTGCTGGCCTGGACCATTTTGAGCTTTAGTGAAGGAAGATGTTGGAGTGAAATCTCTGCTGCTACAGTGGAAGCAGGGGGTGAAGGCAGATGCCACGGTTTAGAAATAATTTGCCACAGAGTGTCCGCTTAAAGGAAGGAGCGAGAGAATATTGGTGGAAAGTGTCAGGACCTCCTGTATGCACCTACATGCACATCCTGGCTAAGTATCACTTAATAGAAAAAGAGGGATAACTGCAAGTGACTAAAATATGCCTTGTGCCATACTGAACAAAATAACGTCCCCTAGGTTTTGCAGTCATCCTGAACCACTTTGTGGTTTGAACCAAACGTGGTATTTGTTACCACATTTGTAAAAAAGGGCCAGTTTCAACAGTTTCAATGATGAGTCAAAATTTCTAAGATGGGTTTTCTAAGATACAAACAAAGGTGTATTTCTTTTAATTTTTTTTTCTTTCTTTCTCCAGATATATCAAGGAGCCAAACGCTCAGAACCTGCAGCTGGAATGAGGACAGTTGATGTAAGTGTAGTTCTGCACGGGTTCTAGAAAACAGCAGCAGTTACTTCCCCAGTTTCAAAACTGAAATTATTATTTGTTGAATTATTTGGTTTACCCAATTCAGTACATAATTGTCGTAGCCATCTGTGGTCCAGAAATGCTAATAGGCATTATGAAAGGCAGTGATGTGGTGCATATACTATTTCCCATATGCACAGCTGTCTGTTTGCCAGTGCTAAGTACCAACGTGATGTGCTTGGGAGAAACATGGGGAAAACAGGCTTGGGGAATGTAAACAGGATGCTAGATGGGCCAGCTGCTTTCTCAGTGCAAGGAAGACATTTGTCTCATTTATATGTGTACTTTGCTCCTGAAATTTGTTTCTAAGATATGTTCAGCTTGCTTCAGAGGGCTCGTTCACCTGAACAATTTCAAAGCATCTGGGGAAAGGTACTTTCCAAGAAACTCTTGCAACAGGACAATAATAATCCTCTTGGTGCATCTTCTGCACTTCCAAGCAGCTCTTCCCCTCCAGGTCACCTCTGCTAGACTGTATCCTTGCAGTATTGTATTGAGGGTTGGCAAGTTCTTGTAGTCTCGGGATTTTCTTTTTCTAAAGCAATGTCTTTATATTGATCCTCTACTCTGATTTCAGTACGCAGGAGGTATCCTCTTTCATACAGCCACTGCTTATGGACTAGGAAAACGAGCATATTTTACATATTGTATAGCATTGTAAGCAGTCGTTTCTGCTTTAACGTTCTAGCTGCTCCGTATGTGTTGGCCTTTTAACGGTGTGGTGGAAGAAATCCTCAAATTCTTAATCCCAGAGGAAATGCTGAAAACATGATTTAAACTAAAGGAGGGTAGATTTAGACTGAACACAAGGAAAAGATTTTTCACAATGAAGGTGGTGAAACACTGGAACGGGTTGCCCAGAGAGGTGGTAGATGCCCCATCCTTGGAAACATTCAAGGCCAGGCTGGATGGGGCTCTGAGCAACCTGATCTGGTTGTAGATGTCCCTGCCCATTGCAGGGGGGATGGACTAGATGGCCTTTAAAGGTCCCTTCCATCCCAAACCATTCTATGATTCTATGATGACTCCACATGAGAGCCCTTAAATGGGCTATAGTTATTTCCAGTTATGTGCATTTTTGATAAATATTTCAAAAATTATGGTGGTGTGATTTGGAAAGGCAGTGGTGTTTTTCCCAAAGGTGTTTTTCAGGAAGTTGAAAAGAAACTGTAACTCTTTAGTCACATTTTTACCATCTGTAATTCTTTGTTAAGAGTCAACTATTGCTAAGTCTAACCTGAGACTTGAAAAACGTGTTTTCAGTGTTCTCAGCTATACTCTTAAAGCCAACAGTGTATTCCATCTCTGAACAGTGCCAAAAGCTAAAAAAAAACCACCCAGACCCCAAAACAGCGTGTGAAATGACAGCAAGTTGCTGCTCTATTTCACTGTATGCTGGCCAATGCCTGAAATCACATGCATGGACAGATAGAGAATATGTTGTAGGAGTAATACACTGCTTGAAAATGCTGTCATACACATTGACGAGTATCAGCCACATGGAGAATTATTTTTTGAAAAGTTATCTTTGTTGATAACTTTATCTGACAGTAAATGTTTTTTCAAGGAAAGCCCAATATTGGGTAAGGAAAGAAATTATTTTGGATTAATTTGTCAACATTCTGTAAACTTAGTCACAGGTTCATCAATATGAAACTTCTTTGGAAGAAGTTTGTCACTTAGCATTAACATCTTGAACTTGTTCAGTGCAAGAAACTTGAAACTTTTAAAGGTTTCTACAGTTAGCAGCATGGCCATAGGACCACACATCATCTACTCTGTGGTACATAGCTCTTCATATATAGGCTCTCATCTCAAGTTAAAAAAAGCGCAGCAATCCCAAGTAGTCTTAAGTGGTTATGCCTCTGCTGACTGAAATATCTTCCTTGCCTACTTTCAGGGTGAATTTTTAAAACTGTCTCCTTTGGAAAGTATGAAATGTAAATGTCCAGCTAAACACTTAGCTGAAAATCTGAAAAACCTCCGTAATAGTTATCAGTTGATCACTAAGTTGATCACACTATATGTACTGACCAACCCTCTCTGAACAACTGGTTTGTTATTTGGCATGCCAATTTTTCCTGTGCTTTGGTATTATTCTTTATGCATTCTCTTAACAGCAAGTGGTAATCCACATGATCAACACAACTAAACATTTGCTTTATTCTCTGCTAAGCAGGTCTGCTGCATAACCACAGCAGATGAGCTGTGGTTATGATTGCAAACTTTACAGTTTCTGTGAAGCTTGGTATCTAACGTGTCTGATATGAATAGTATGTATTATAGACAAGATATATACATCTAAAAACCTTCATGAAAATTAATTTGTGTCCTTAGTGATGGTTTAGATACATAGGTGACATTTCAGTTATGTAAGAGAATACAGATGCTAACATCTCACCATGCAGAAAGTTGTTTTTCTTTCTGTTGCATATTCATGATGAAATAACTTAATGCTTAAAGACACATGAAAATGGAATTAAATAAAACATAATTAACAGTGTGCTTTCAGCAAAGCTGCTTTTTTTCCCTGAGAGAAATGTTAACCTACACAAAATAATATTTTGTTGGTAAAGTCCAAGACTTGGGAACTTGTTTTCATACTAAACAGGGATTAAAAACTGTTAATATTGATATTCTTATGTGTAACTGTTACTTCCATAATACTTCACTTTAAACTGTGGGCTCCAATCATTGGCTTTGTTTAATGATGATACGTCTCCATGTCTCAATGAATACAGAAGTGACTCTGTTTAAAAGTGAGAGTAAAACAACTGTCCTATGGTAAGGATACAGTAGTGCAAGCACTGTCTACAGGGTAACTAGCAGCCTCTTGATCACTTACATAAAGAGTTCAATAACCTGGAGATATGACAGTAGATTACAATGTAAGAGAAGGATGATTTAATCGTATTTAGATAATAATCTTGCAGAACACTATCTGTGAGAAGTTACACAATGTAAGATTCCTGTGGTATGCTTTTTGCAGAAATATACAACAGGACACAACCCTCTAAAGTTGTTTATATTTGAAATGGCAAAGGAATGGCATAGAGAGGAGTTCAGATGTTTGGCAGTGATGGCCATGGCTTAAAGATCACTGTGCCGACATAAGACAAACTGGTGTTTCTATTAATTTCCAGAAGTCCCCTGTTTATATCAAAGAATGAAGAGTTCTTCATCAGCGTGAAGACTCTCAGTTAAAACAATTTTGATAAGTCTAGGTGCCACATCTCTCTAGTGCCTTTTTGTACCTGCTTCCATTTTAATAAGCCATATCAAGTCAGAAGTTCCTGCTTTTTTAGCTTTCCTGTTAAGGGATAAAAAGCATCATCACAAGGTGACCTGTTACCTACTTGCCTAATTGCACAATTTTTAGGTTGTGGTTCAGATAAATGCATTGGAGAGTGGAGAAGAAACGTGTATTCTGCTTGCTTCTCCAAGGGGAAAAAAAATTACTATGTGATTGTTTGCCGATGGTGCTGCCTGGTAAAGCACCTGGTAGAAATTTAGATGATTGTGATGGCAAGGCTCATAGTCTGGGTGGGTTCACCTGTACACAGTTAGCTTGTAGAAGGAACAGGGTTTTCCCTGGGAAAGCAGCATTAATAAAGAGGGACAAACAGAACTCACTTGGAGGAATCAGCCTGAAGTGGTAGTTACTAAAATGTGTAAGGAAAGGATTTTTGGATATACTGTCAGCTTCTTTAGCATGACTTTTAAGAAATATATGGAAGTAGTAAGTTTTGAGTTTTGTTAGCCTAATCGAACAGATATCTGAGACCAGGCTTGTACATGCTACAAAAAAAATCTTGTGTGATATACCCCATTGCTTGGGTGGGCTGAGAATTTTTTTTTTTAGCTTCTTGGTCACAAATGGTTTGATAGTACTTTTTTTTTTTTTTTTTTCTTCTTTAAGTTAGAATCTGTGCAGTCTGTTACAGACCAGCCTGTAGTGATTTTGAAGGACGCCATCTCTAAGCTATAATACCACGTTTAAGCTATCAGGGCATTGTTGTCTTTATCATTCTGCTGCTTTTGTATTTTATATCATCTCAGTTTTCTGAAGAGAGCCTTGTTTCCACGTGATGTGGTTTCTCCTACGTTGGCTAACAGCTTTGTAGGCATTACTAGCTTGCAGCTGACTTTTGTATTCTCCAGGATGTTTGTATCAACAGGAGGAATTTTATATTCACAGCACAATGACTCTCATTTAACCTTTGTATCTGATAGTTGTTTGGTTTTTACGTGTCATTTAAATAGTGTTCAATAGAAGGAAGTACGTGCATGAAGCATAACGGTAATCAGAAAGCAATGCACTTTGCATCATGAACTGTTCCAGTGTGGGTCCCTTCTGCAGGCTACAGTCTTTCAAGATAAACCTGCTCCATTGCGGGTCCTCCACAGGCAGCAGTTTCTGGCAGAAAACCTGCTCCTGTATGGGCTTCTCTTCACTGGCTGCTGCTTACTTCAGGGCACCACAAACCCCTCCCCCTCAGCTAGTGTATTTTACAGCTATAAGATGATTTATGATATAGTTAACATGTCAAAGACATGTAGATGGTTATCCAGGTTTACAGATAATAGGTAACCTAAACCTATGGAGAATCAGCTTGCCGGTTCTCTCCAAAGTTATATGGATTAGTTACATGAGAAATACCTACTGGCATGAGGCCTGTAAAATTATTTTGCAGGCCCGCATCTAAAAATACTTAGGGCTGGCTCTGATCTTCCTGTAATTTTTGGTTATGTAATAAAGTATCATTAAACAAAATTAGCGATACTCTCCCTTGACTGCTAATTAAGCAAAATTGTTCCTAAATATACTCTATACGTAATTTGCTGTTTAGTACACACCTTGTGTTACAATAAAATACAGTATTCTGTTCTGAAGAGCTGCATTCCATTTTTTTCATGTGTGTTCACATAGGGAATTTTCTTATTTGTGTCAAGTAGAGATGGATATTTTCCAAAAGAACTGTTCTTTTTTTAATCAATACTTCCTATATTGACTATGCTGGTATTGTGTCAATACTTCCTGTATTGACTGTGCAGGTATTGTGATACTTATCTACAAAATCATAGAATCATATTTAGCTTATTTATTACTTATTTATTTATTATTACTTTAAGATGTATAGTTTTAAAATTACTGACAAACATTTGGAAAACATTATGATAACTGTCTCATTATATATCTCCAGAGACCAAAAGTTCAGTGTTCTTTTTGTATGGAGTCTTTGGCACATCTTGCTTTCCTGGACGGGGTGGGGGAAGGGAACAAAGAACCCTTGAGGTTTCAAAATATAATAAACCTTATGCAAATATGTATGTATTATATGTGTACACCTTACCTGTAAAACTTTAACGTGATGAACATGGTCTTATGCAGGTTTTGCTTTTTGAAATTGAAAACTGTCTAATTACAGACTTTAGCTTTGGTTTTCTTTCCATTTAATTGCAACTGAATTATGTGGCTCAGTCCTGTACTCTATAACAGGTCAACCTCTATCTTTACAAGCTACTAGTACTACATCCACACTAGCATCATTTTTGGTCATTTTGATGACTAATTAGAGATCAGGTCGATCTTTGAGGAAACTGTTGGATGTTGATTTTCTTTTTAGAATTCTACTTGATTGCTGGTTTGTGTCAAATGATTTGAAAGCACTATATGCGATACCTGTGGGTCTGCCACTACATGGACATGTAGAAAGAACATGAAAAGGCAGCATACAGTAAGTAAAAAATCAAAACACGATCATTTTTGTAGCACGCATACCAATTCCTATTTTGTAACGGAGCACTGCTTGGTGCTAATCACCTTCCACTTGCAGGCTCGTTGCTCTGCTGTTTCTGGACCTCTGTAGAAATCTTACTGGAGGGGAGAAGGATTTCTGCTTTTATCCAAGGCAATATAGCTGGACTGTATGGAGTAACAGTGAGTATGGCTTTGAAGAAAGCTTAAGCAGATAGTCATAATTGACATACAGTCAGCAGGGTGTTATTACCTGATGTTTTACACAAAAGCTGAACTCTGTTGATAAGGTATAATGAGTTTCCTAAATCACGTTTTGCATAGTACAGCAAAATAGGGGAATAAGGCGTACTCACCTTATGGAGATTGCAGAAGAGACAGGCAAATAAGTGGGACGATGCTGGTAAAGGTGTTTAAAAAAAAATTCCATTAAACCACTCTTAAAACTGGCACTGTTTCTGACTCTGGTGCCCAGCACTGGAAACTGGACTGTGTCCTGGGGGAAGAAAATAACCTGATTTTTCTTGAAGGATGTAACACAAAGAAAACACAGTGATGCTGGGGATAATAAATACATTAGCTCATGCCTCATTGTTTCTAGAAAAGGATTGCTTCATACAGCATGTGAAATATAAACAAAACAGCAAACAAAACTCTTTTAGATAGATGATAGAGGAGTTCAGGGCCATAGGAATAAAGAACCAAAAAGAATGAAATTAATTTTGTACATTTCTCACAATGAAGAACCCATGATAACTAACCTATTGAAGAGATTATTTCTTAACAGATAAAGGACTTCCTGAAATAGACAAAAGTGTTACTGAGAGAGTTTTTATGTGAACAAAAAATAACCTTAAAAGCATGTTAGCTTTGTTTCTTGCCTTGTTGGCAGCTGTCTAAATAGTATTCTGAACTTCAAGTGTTTCTCTTGTATGGCAGAACTGTATTAATTTATCAATGTTCTGTGCAGTCTGTTTTGGTTACATAGTTTGCCATCATGATATCTATGCACAGAGTGAAGGCTAACATACGGATTGTGTCCAAAGCTTCTGTGTAATGTAATATGTTTCTTTCATATCTCTGTGGCTGCCCAGAAATGCGTCTGAATATGTTGAGAGCTACAGTTAGTCTGATTCCCTTTGAATGTCCCACAGATGGATAAGAATACTTCAGGCAGGAAGTTTATCCAATTGCTGAATAGGTGTGTCCTGGGCTTAGTGAGTCCAGTAAATTTTCGTTCAGTGCCTGTAGGATTCATGCAGAGCACTTCTTACCTTCACACTCATGAAATACAGTATAAACAAACCCACAAGAGGAATCAGCAGGGGAAAGGTGATTCTTACTCTAGAATTGTGGGCTATGCAGTTCCATCTGAGGTTCCTGCAGTGCTGTCCTTGTTTTGGCTGCTATTCTGCAAAGAAACCCAAGTATTTTATAGTAGTTTGAGAGCCCCTGCCTTCTCTGCCATACCACCTGCCACACAGCAATGGTCAAATATGAAATTGCTTTGGGTGGGGAGGGGAAAGCAGTTTTGGGGGAGTGTTGTACTACTTTTTCCTTATTTCAGGTGATCTATTTGCTTCCTATTTTTTGCCCTTTAAAAATCTCCTGTACACTTGACATTTTTGCTTCCTCTCACACAAAGCTGGAAGTAATATTAGCTAAACTTATTTCATGTCAGAGAAAATCCTTAAGGTTTTTACTGGTTGTTATTTCATTCCTTCCATGTTTGTAGCGTGTCTCCATAGTATTTCTCTGTCCATGGACATTGTTCCACACTGCTGTGAGCTAACTCCAGGGAAAAAGATAGCAATAGCATAAGATAAACTTTCTGTACAGTAGGTAAGCAACTGAGGTCCAGAACCACTAAGGTATTTGAGCATCCCACTTGAAAATAATGAGAAGTGCCTGAATATGTGGACCTGGATTGTGGAACGGTTCTGTACAAGTAGTGCGAATGAGACAGGCAGGAATTTCATCTTTCTTCTGGCATCTATTATGGGCTACTGTGTCCTGCCCCTACAGAAGGGGCCTAAGGTGAAACTGTTTTTTAAGGAGCACTTAATGTTGAAAGACTGAAATGTTGATGGCTGCTGACTGAAGGTTGTGCTTGTCAGTGCTTGCAGGTGAGTACAACTCAGCATATCTTTATGTGAACAAAGTAGTTTATGGTAGTGATAGATACCAGTATTTCCTGACTCACAAATCAAAGAGCAGCATATGTATTTTTACTTAGTAAGCTTGGGGGGGGCAGAACAAAACCAAACATCACCTTTTAACATTCTAACATTTATTTTCTGCTTATAAGAAAATGCCATTCTTTACGATTTTGGCACTTGATTTAGGTCAATAGTTAGCCCTGCAAGAGTACCAAACTGTAGGTCTGTGGGAAACAACTGCAAATTCAAGGGTGGGAAGCAGAGTAGTGGTTCATTCTTTAAAAGATACAACACTGGCATGCCCCTGTCTTCATGTTATTTTCAGTTCTAAACTTGAATGAAGTCTTTTTTGCTTCTTCTGTGTTCAGCAGTGATGGTGTTGGAGTACAATATATCAAGCAGTGACAATAAATCTTAACTGAGGTATATGAACCTAAGAACTCTTTTTCCATTGAAGACAGGTGGAGAGGGGTTGCATTTTACATCAAACAGGGATAATTTCAGTAGTTTATACTGAACCTCTTAGTTCTAGCTTGCTCAGTCATTAGTTAGCTAGAAAATGTGCAGTCTTAACTCCTCTTGTTGGAATAGTCCATATACCTGAATGAGTGAAAGTTTCAGTGATTAGACATTTCTGCTGTTTTTTTAGATGACTTTGATATTGTCTATTGGCAGCAATGAACAGTATTTCCAGGTCATTTCACCCACCTATTTAAAACAATTTTGCTGTTGTCATGAATAGCAATTAATCACTTTATTTCTGGACTGTGTCACGGCAATTGAAAGTCATAAAGCCAAAGTCTTTAAGGTTATGGAATAAAAATATATATTCCAATAGGTATTTGCATCTCTAGTTATTAGGCAGCTTGCAGAAGAGTGAGATGGTACTATAAATTATATTTTCAGTTAAAAATCGATTCACATG